ATAGAGGAAACGCCCGTAAAACCAACGATTATCAGTTTAAACTAAGGCCCCGTCCACACTACTGCGTTTTCGTTTAAAAACGGAGAATTAAAACGAATACGATCTCTGTCCACACCAGCGTTTTATTTGCGTATTAGAACTGATCTCAGTCCACATCAAAACGACTGAAAACGCGGATCACGTGACCATTCACCAACACTTAGCATGCGCGTGCCGGTGTAAACAGTGGCTGACAAATCAGGGAAGGATACGTCATGACTGCTAACACCCAATCATAGAGCCGAGCGTGAGCCTCTGCGTCAGCATTTCTAAACTCCTCCGTTTTGTCCCGTCTTCACTAAAACGCCCTCCAGAGATTCAAAACGCAAAACGCAGCTGCAGCGTTTCTAAACTTCTCCGTTTTAGGTCTTTATTTTTTTCCGTTTCCAGACGGGAGGTGCAAACGTAGCAAAAGTCAAGTCAAGTCAAGTCACATTTATTTATATAGCGCTTTTCACAATACAGATTGTATCAAAGCAGCTTCACACTGAGGTCTCCGTTTTTAAACGAAAACGCAGTAGTGTGGACGGGGCCTGAAGCTTGGACTCGATATACTGTAGTGTTCCTGAGATCCAGAGATCATGGATATCCGCTTTATAGAAATACTATATAGGTCTAAATCCATGTGATCACTCATATCACTGTTATATATCATCATCATATCGCCAGACCTTTTTATTAAAAATTCATGCAGAATATACGATGGTAAATATTAACTGATGTCTTGTCAATACGATATATAACAATACAGTTTATGAGGAATGATTTTACCCCTAAATTCAGCAAACTGACACTTAATTAAAACTGCAAATCCAGCTTTCTCTGCCTGGATCCAGATGATTCTGTCAATCTCAGCAGTCTGGACAAATATACCTCAGATTTATGAAATTAATTTAAATTACTATTATTAATTAATTATTTTAATCTCAAAACTCTTTCCCGATTTAGATGCGTTTCGTGGCATTCACACTGAAAACAAAAGCTGCCACTCAGTGTGTGTTTCTGCCACTCAGTGTGCGTGACCACAGTCACGTGACGTCGCGCGCATACACACTATAGAGAGAGAAGCATAAAGCTCGGGTGAACTCGTACTTGCGCACACAAACGCCTCTGACATTCAGGACGGAGAGCCGATACTCCGTGTTAACCTCATCTTCGTCAATGTCTCGGCTAAGAAAACGGTCGACAGGATGATTGAAAATCAGTTTGCCTGAGCTAAAGCTTAAACCCCAATACACACATCAAGATTTGATTTCCTCTCAGCTTTTCCATTAAATTCAATTTGCATGTCTGAAAGATGTTTTTGTGAGTGTGTTTGTGTTAAGTTTTAGCTGGTCTCTTCTCTAAAGCACAATGGTCAGTGTGTGTGTGTGTGTGAGAGAGAGAATCAAACACCCCGAGGGCTCTGGAGCCATTACACACGACACGGCTCCTTTGATTGGTTGCATTCAGCTGCCAAAAAAGGGAAATTGAGTTGTCGCCGCTAGCGCACAGGTAGCAATCACACTCTCTGGCGTTCAGAGCCGCGCGCCTATTGAACGGCTGGATATTAAATCCCCACAGACACACACACACACGTGCACACACCAGTATTGTCCATTTATTTCTAGCCCAGCATCGCTACGATCTTCCTGCTGGATTCAATAAACCAGGAATTGAAAAAGACATGGAGAACAGGCCATTTATGACCATACACTGCAATCTCAAACCAGCTAAACTCCAGAAACTAAGAAAACATATTTATGTTAATATGTTGTCATATTTGTCATATTTAGTGCTAAACTGCTAAAAAAGATTTTTTTGAAAGTTATTAATTTTTTAAGAATATATATATTCTTAAAAAAATCACTAACTTTAAAAAAAATCTTTTTTAAAAAATATGTCTATATATATATATATATATATATATATACTGTATATATATATATTCTGTGATTTTTTCTGTGATTAAACTTCATTAATCGCAAGTAAAAACACTTACGTTTTTATACATTTCTAATATATTTTATATTGTAAAAAATTCACAGTTAATCTCCAGATTAATGTAAAAACAGCATAAATACTGCACATTTTAAATACTTGTTTAATGGCATCTTTTACTGAATGAAGGCCACTATCACTTCTACTAATATATCTTCTGATGTCTCAATAAAAAAAGATTTGTTCCCCCAAATTTTAATATAGCTATATTACAGTTATAGCTAAAGGATGAATGAAAAACAGATGCTGCGTAAATTAATCGTATTCATATTAACGTTGACATCACTAATATATAGACCATTTCACAAGATGTAAACAACACTGGTCCAGAAGCACTTCCTGTTTCAGTTTGTAACTGTTTTCTTTATTTCACATGTAAAGAAACATCTTAAAGATGTTTGTTTAACTTTTTGATTCAGTTTTAAATGGTCTGTTGGTTTTATTTTATCCCAGCTTTTATGTAGTGTTTAAAAAACTGAAACAGGAAGTGCTTCTGGACCAGTGTTGTTTACATCTTGTGAAATGGTCTATACATTTCCTCTGAATGTCAGAACTACATTACACTACTGTATATAATGTTGAATATAATGTAAAATAATGCAACGGGAGAATATTTGTGTGTCCTGATAATGCCAAATATCAGACGTTTCCAGTAAAGTGTCCGACATTATTATAAATATATCTACTCACAGAACATGTTTGTTTATAATAATTCAGTATTTTCATCTTCAGAGTCATGAATATTGTTATTCTGGTGTCTCTATTGTCCTGTATTGGGAACTCTATTAATTTACACACACAATGTAAAACCAAATTTAGCATTTTAAATCAATATTTTTTGTTGATGTTTTATAATATGTCTTGGAATATCCCACTGATTATCAGTGTCGTGATATGTATTGAATCATGAGGGAATCGCTACACCCATAATATATATATATATATATATGTCTGCAGTGTGGATGTACAGTAGTTTGGATTGAAATCGCTCTTCAGTTCTGGAGGAGCCAGAGGCTCCAGACTCCCGATGGTCGTCATCACAGGAAGCAGCAAAACAGAGCAAAACATGATAAAATGAGCAGAGAGACGCTGAACTCGACAGAGCGAGAGAAGCACAGATGAGACGCAGAGAAACACAACAGTTGAAAGCGACCTCCTGAAGCGCTTCGTAACTGCCGAGGACGAGCCGCGTCTCTCATGCTCAAGATCTCTGCCTCGCGTCCCACGAGTCACTGTGTGAAGTCAGACAGAAGATCTCAGCATCAAAACCTGGAGTGCTAATGATGTCCGTGTCCCGGACGCCCGCCGCAAACAAACCCGTCCTATGCCGGATTTACGGGCTTCGGTTAGCGGAGTTAACAAGCCTGAGGAATCCCACTATCGTTACAGTGCGGGACACGGTGACGTCTCTGAATTATTCATCTGCGTGATTTTCCCCACTTTAAGCCTCGGCCGCCTGAGGAACGACATGCTGTGAGAGGCGTAGGGCTGCACGATACATCACAATATAATCAATATCGCAATATAGTCAAATGGCAGATTGTGTGATTTAGTAAAGTTAATATACAGCATGCACTCCCGCTCATGTGTGTGAATGAACATACAGCCTCATTCTGAACCGCCAGCGCATGTTTTATTGCTCACAACCTCACAAAATAAAAAAAGTTTGTTGGTTTACTGTTTGAAAATTAAGAAATTAAGATATAGAATAAGTTTATAGGTAATGTAATTTCACAAAAAATGTAAATTATTTTCATTGATTTTTTTATTTGACAGTACAATAGCATTACTACAATATATTTTTTATTTTACTTAAAAAAAATAATCACAATAAAATGTATATATATTTTATTAGTATTATTATTACAATAGTATTTAGTATTAATATTACAATAGTATTATTACAATTTGTTATTTTGTTAATAATCACAATAAAAGTATATATAACATGATAATACAAATATATTTATGACTTGATTTTTTTATTTTACAGTACAATAATATTACTACAATATATTTCTTATTTTGTTTAATATTTTATTTAATAATAATCACAATAAACTAATATATATATATAAAATGATAATAATAAAAATAAATGTATTTTTATAACTTGATTTTTTATTTTACAGTAAAATAGTATTATTACAATATATTTCATTTTAATAACAATAATCATAATAATTATTATTTTATAGTCATATCCAAATGGCCAAAAACAATGTTAATGTGGTCTATGAAAACTCAATTGGAAAGAGATTTGTTTTTAAACTCACTTTATGGAAACTGAAATATGTTTGAGTTGTTTCTTGGAAAGCCAAAAGCAAAACAAAAAAAAAGTGTTTCCCAAATCATTTAGGATTTTCCACTCAAAAATGTCTTCAGAATCAAAATAATATTTTATTTTACGTAAATTCATATAAATAGTCCCCCATCTTCTCTAACCACTGATGTGGAGACAACTCAATGGATTCAAATAAGTATTAATTATTATGAGAAGTTGGCGGTCACGAGGATTGGGTCCCAGAATTGGGGGATATGAAGGAACGGCATGCAGATCACTGCGGGAAATGAGGTTCATAAGAGAAACTGGGGCAGATCTCTGACATTTACTGGGGGTACAGGAGGATGACCTGGGGGTCATGAATGTACAAATTTGGTGAATAGTCACTTTAATTAATGAATTAATATTTTTTGCACTTAAATTTTGTTTTGTTTTTTGTTTATTGCAGATCTTTAGGCAATTGTAACCACGCGTGTTGGATGGGTGGGGGTCTGTTTGGAGAATGAGCGTACGGTTTTGTTGATCTGAAGGAGAAAATAAAAACTGTGAATCATTAAAAAAGCATCCCCCTCACTCCAAAATATAGCTATTCAAGTCATCTGGTGACATTTCCTGGATATTTTCGTTCCACAATGTCAGTTTTGCAATGCGAATGCGTCCTTATTCATATGTGTGTGCTTTGCTAGGCTCCACTAACCGGAGGTCTCGTCCACGCGCTCCTCCACCGTGTGCTCCTTCTGATGGACCCACTCGCTGTTGCACTTGAAGTAGATCTGCGTGGCCGGCGTGGCCTTGCAGTAAAGGTTGACGGGCTTGTTCTTCACGATGTACGCCTCCTCCGGCTCCATCAGGAAGTGCGGGAGAGGCTCGGGCGGGTCCGAGGGGAACGTCTCCGGGAGCTCGCCCAGTCCCAGATAGTCATCATCTACAGAGGAAGAGAAGAGGAGGAGGAGTGAGCGCTGGCGGCTGTTTATGGGGATTGTCGTCGGTGTACATGTGTTTGCCTGCGAGGCTGATGGGATATGAGCTACTGTTCGACAGCTAAAGCTAAAGAGAAACACATGCAGGCGCTGTAATCAAACACAGGTTCGGCATACAAGGGAACAGGCCACACGACACCGCTGTACACGACACAAACTCAAATACTACATCATATTACAGTTTTTCTCAGTCGCTTTGGTGCATTTCTCACATCACTATTTACATTTGCACAACAGATAGCATTATCATTTGCTTATGTCATATCAGTCCAAATGAACTATACTTGTGAATGCTGAATAGTCATTCCATATAAAACTAATAGTCCTCATTTCATTGCTTGAGTCATCACATACAAAAATGTTAAACTAATAATAATAATAATTAAATAGTTAAATTAAAGCACTAACTAGTTGTCAAAATCTGTCAAGCAAATTTTAAATTTTTTTATCTTTAAAAAAAACTTTTTTTATCCTAAATTGAACAATTTCTGGCAGGTGAACCTCAGCTTTCACTGATGAGAAGAGATGTGCATGAATGATTTACAGTATATGTATGTTGTTTGTTCAGTTCCAGTATGTACTGTGATATTATTTCCAGTTGTGCACCGATCTACCCAAAGGGAGTTTTTGTTTGTTGTAAATAAGGGTGTATTTTTTCTTTTGCACAATGCTCTGAACAAATTAGAAATGCAAAGAGCATGCAGTAAAAATGTGAAACATACTCAGTTACTGTACCTCACTAAATACAGTAATGTGAAACTTTACTGTAGTTTTCAAATGGCTGTGCAAATAGTTTATAGGACTGTCTTGAGCATTTTCAGGTATAGTGTCACCAAGATATGACTTTTTTTGCATTGTCAAACACTTACAGAGTAAACTGTCATAATGAAAACATGACAAAGCCATTTGACTCTTGTTCATAAACACTGGTGTTAGGACTTTTCATCTTGACCACACTGACACTTTCAATGACATGAATACTTGCTTTTGAGGAATGAGTTATCCATTTTGAGCAAGTGACACACTTTTGCAGGTTATCAACTAAGTTTTGCAGTTTGTACTAATTGTTTTGAGAAATGCATTAACTGTTGTGCAAATGGAAATAGTGATGTGAGAAATGCACCAAAGCGACGGAGAAAAACTGTAATATAATGAAAAAAAGAATATAATGTCTACGATAGATGGATAGATGATGGATGGATAGATAGAACGATAGATAGAACAATAGAACGATAGAACGATAGATAGATAGATAGATAGATAGATAGATAGATAGATAGATAGATAGATAGATAGATAGATAGATAGATAGATAGATAGATAGATAGATAGATAGATAGATAGATAGATAGATAGATAGATAGATGATAGATAGATAGATAGATAGATAGATAGATAGATAGATAGATAGATAGATAGATGTATATTTTTATGTGCTTTTTCCGCTGGATACAAATATCTTAATAAAGTTGAGCATGAACTAACGTTACTTCAAAATACACAAATCATAAAACATAAAAAATAAACATAAACAATGACGGCTTAGTGAATGGTGACATGAGAGAAGTACAGAAGATCACAGGATCAATAACATCCCGCCAGATTGCCTGAATCCATTTCCGTCGAACTTCATCGACAGGGAACTGACGAGGGAAGGAATGAAAACGACAGGTAGGCTATGGCTGCTTTTGGGAATAACAAAAAAGATCTGTACGCAACAACTCTCACTAGTTGCCTGCGGCGCTTTCTGTTATGAATGGAGCGGAAGAAGATTACCACGACAATTGCGTATTTCCGGTCACAAATACGGAAGTTGTGAGAAAGGTCAATGTTTTCTCCCCATTACCAGAAGCATTAGCGTTCACACACTTTCACACACACTGCGTTTGGTGCCTGAGACTAAATATGTCTGATTTAATTTCCCACAAAACCCTGCATGTGTCTCCCGGAGCCGAGGGAATCTGGTTTATTAAATTCCACAGATATTTGTCTGCAGACGGGGAAGCGTCCCCTGTAATCACGGCCGGCTTTCATCAGAGCCTGCCTCAGCGGTGTCTCCCTCATCAAACACAACCCTGTGTTTATCACCGGAAGAGGCCATCCACAGCGAAACGCCACCCGAGAGGGAATCGGTGTTATGCGTCCCGTGTTTGCCGGCCTCGTTCAAACATCCGCGAGAGAGAAGTGCGAGGACATTTGCAGAGCGTTCGTCACCTTTCTATTCTTAACGACTGACCGCCAGACATCAATTATTTACACAGGAGGAGAATGAATCTGGAGACGAGAGGAAGCCTTTTAAAGGGGTGGATGATTTCTAACTTTAGTTATACCATGGTCAGGGTGAATACTCCATTCTGATTGGCTGCAGGGTGTCCATTAAAAAGTGATAGAGGACACCTAGCAAAGGAGTTCTGGTGAAACTGACTGTTCACCGTTCGAAATTAATAAATAACTGCGCTGGATACATCAGCTGTCAGTAACCATAGCAACAGGCAGTCAGTATCCGCTTACAATTTATTGCATCAAAACAAACATCTAGTTAGCCGTTATACTATCCCTACCTGTGTGTTTTAATTATAGTTTTAAAAACTCAAGGGTTCTCCGAGCCGAGTGGACTATAAATATCTCCGGTTGCTAAATAAACCGTCAGGCGTAACCAGGGAAACCTAGTTACTGTTTGTACAAACTTTAGAATTCCATTGTAAAACTAACACACACACACACACAAGCTCTTGAAGCTCCGCCCTCTGTGCTGGGTGCAGCAGCTCATTTGCATTTAAAGGTACAGACACGAAACAGACACACATTTTTACAGATCTTTTTTGATTATTATTACATACGCTTCCATTCCCGCACCCAGTTACACACACACACACACCATGTTGGCTGTTATTATGTATTTTTGTTGGCCTTGGTTTTTGTTGTATCTGTCAACTGTAAATAGTATATTTGTTTGCATAATAAAACCGATTCTCTCACCGGGACGATTCTGCGACAGCACATCGGTATCAGCCGTGTTGTAACAGGCCCGTGTCTATCGGCTGTGTGTCGAGTGTTAAGGGAACGAGGAGATGGAGGTCAACCGGTGAGACTGCATTAGCACATGAGCCCCAGGGGATTCTGGGTAAAGTGTGTCTGCTTTTCATCACACGTGGGTCCTCAATCACACCTGCCCGTCACCGGCCCCAATCACTGCTAATTGAAGGGGAGCCGTGACCTCGACTTGACCTTCCCCTACACACACTCTGTGTCACACTGAACAAAACAACACGAAGTTCAGCTGGTTCTCAAAAGTGGGAGCTAGATTTAATCATCTATTAAAAGAAGAAAGCGTTAATGCAACAGAAGTGAATCAAAACTAACTTTATCAGGACAGTAACTTTATTCTAGATCTGCTGTAAAGCCGAAACACTGTGACTGTGATCTCCTGTTATCACTGTAAAGCTGATGTGAAACTCTGTATATTGTTAAAGCGCTGTATTTAAAAAGTGTTTAATCAAACCCTAAATCCTGAGCAGCATTAATACTGATATTTGACTCAGTGGTTATGTTTACATGCACACACTTTGTCTCAATCAGACTGATTTCATTCTGACTGATGAATTTGAAATGAAGTGTTTACATGAAGTGTGCGTTTATGTGTCACAAGCTTCAAGTCAGAATAGTTTTTTCGACATGCGCTCACTGAAAAAATAAACAGTTTCACGATGTTTGCACATAAGTACTCTCCTGCATCGCTTCTTTATTTGCTTTAAACAGCTGACTTAATATTGACCCATTTCTGGTAATAATTTGAAGCATATGAACTGCTGTGCTGCTGCTTACAATTATCACGCAGTAAAAATGCCCAATGACTGATGGGAACACGAAAGAAGATATTTTGACGAATGTTCAAGAGTTGATGGACCCCATTGACTTCCATAATGGGGAAAAGGATGATATGGAAGTCAATGGCGTCCATCAACTCTGTGGTTACTCATATTCTTTAAAATATCTTCTTTTGTGTCCAGCAGAAGATATATATATTTTCACAGGTATGAAACAACTTGAGGTAAATGATGACTATCACTTTAACAAAAATGAAAATATGTGGTGTTTGTACTTTAAAAACATTCAGTCTCTATTGTAGTGACAGTGCAACAACACAGGAAAACCTGCTGAGAGCTTCCCATCGGGCAGTATCTGAGCAAACCAGGGCAGGTTTATCAGCACAACAATTAGCTGTGGACCAGAACCAAGACCCGGTGCGACTGCCAGCCCTGCTGAGCATGATCCTATCTCAGTCACACACACATGCATCCAAACACACACTTGAACATTTCTTGAACGCTGTCCTCGTGCCAAACCACTGACAGTCGTGTAACGCTCGCAGACACCGAGACCGCCAGCGTTTCAGACCTTGACCCAAAAAACAAGTAAAGTCACAGAAGCACGGCATCTGTCTGTCTGTCTCGTGGCAGGCCTGAGAGATCACACGGTGGCATGAAGCGCTTGTGCTCCACTTCGTCAGCAGAAATAATAAATAAAAGAGAATAAAAGAGGCGAAAAGCACTCGAGAAATGGAAAAACATGACAGAAAATTGCCTTCCCGCCAACAAGCCCCAACAGACTCGCAGATCTCGAGTGGACAAAAGACACAGAATAGAGTTCACATTCAGTCCAGCAGAAAAGCCCATGACATAATGTGGCACATCAGCACCTGCCCCCGTTTAAGGCAAGAAAACACAGGCAAAAACACTTGGAGATTTGGGCAATTTGGAGATTTTGGTTCCTTATTTTGCATCCAAGCGGGAAGAAAACACCCTTTCTCTTTTACTCTATTGTATTGCACTTTGTGTATTTGAGACTGAAGGTTTCAATTCCAATACATATCTTTAACTCTTTCCATGCCATTGACAGAATTTTCCGTAGTTTATGAGACGCTTCCTCGCCACTGATGGAATTT